CGGACTTGAAGCCGAGCTGCTTTCCGAGCCGTGCATTCCCACGTAGCCGTATTGAAATCGTAACCAGAACCGTATCCAAATCGTAAACGGCGACCACACCTAAATCATAACGAAACCGAAAGATAATCACATAAATAATTCCCGGGCGATATCCTTACCCTCCCAAGGAAGAATGTCCTAAGTTTAACACGGCTCGAAATCAGTCTTCAGGGCTTGTTCTGGACCCCTAAACCCTAAACCCTAAACCCTAACCCCTGAACCCTAAACCCTAAACCCTGAACCCTCAACGATAAGGTTCCGGTCCTCGAAGCCGAGTCGCCTGACAGCCCTTGAGCCATGGCGTCCGGTTTGAGCAAGGCGTTGCTATTGCTCAGCCTGGGGGTCCTCGGCTGGCGCTTGGGTCTTCCCTTCGCCCTCACCTCGGATTTCAGGAAGTTGAATTCGTCACAAGTCGGTGCATCTGATCCACCGTCAGACTTCTTGGAGCTGCTGCGCTGCAGCCCCATGTGGGCATGGCATGCCGGAGATGTGGACCGCTGGCGTAAGCTGCCCGATGATACCAAGGCAAAAGCTGTGCGAATGTTGGGTTTCGATCCGCTGGTATCTAGGGTAGTGGTGATGACATACGCACACTCTTTCATCCAGTGTCAAGTACGGACGCTGTCCGTAAGGGTGAAGGATGAGTTGAGCGCATTTTTTGGAAGGGAAGTGTCCCTGAAGGCGGGTGGGTCCTGCAGTCGAGCGACTGAGCTGCCATCCAGCGACTATGATGTTTATTTTGATGTGCCTGGTGTAAAAGTTGATGAAAGCCAGAGGGACGAGTTGCTCTCGTTTCTCCGCGCAGAGCTGAACTGCACGGCAGCCCTTTCGGAGCGCGCCATTGCAATCCAACTACACTTAAAGGAGAACTTATTCTTTTCTCCAGGGGACATCTTCCTCGACTTAGTGCCAATGAGCGCCACATACTTCGACCGGGACAAGGTAGAGTTCCCCCATTTCTTTGGTTCCAACAACCGATCGAAGAATGATGAAGACCTTGCGCGTTTTTACGACAGCTGTCCGGGCTACCGCACCATCGTCCGCGAACTTAAAGCATTCTTTAAAGCGGGGCTCCAACACGTCGGTTTGAACCTCCCAAGCTATCTACTGGAGTATTTGGTCATGTGCGTAGCAGCACAAAGTAAGCCTATTCTTGGCTCTGGCGACTGGGTCGCAGAAGTCTTCCAACTGTCATGCAACACCCTTCGTGAGATTGCTACATTTCAAGCTTTTCCGGCACTGCCGTCAGCGACAAAGCTCTCGCCACTTCAAGACCTTTTGAAGGATCTTGAGACTTTGGAGCCGCGACGCAGGCAAGGCATAACGGATGCATGGCTCAAAATGGCTGAGCTGGCACGCAATGCGCGCTGGGCAAACCGCTGCTTGGTGCACCATGTGTCTTTGCTCGTATATCAATCCAGGTACATCCAACGTCATTGGAAGTCATGATTTTGAAACACAGCTCTACTTACACGAATCAGGTGCTAGAGAAGTGGAGGAACAGATGCGTGCGATTTCAGACGCTGCGAAGCCGGGCTCTGGTGAAGAGTAGCTGGACATCGAGGATGTTTCGTTGCTATGGTGCGCATCTGCGCATCTAGGAAGTCGGTTACATTTGTGAGCGAGCATGTTAGAGCAAACTCCAGATTAGAATCATCATGTTTCTGTTCGGAACTGCGTACCCAAATCGTGTCGTCCTTCTGAAACACACGAACCACGTACGAAAGCCGAGTCCTTTAACGAGATCTTGTGCGAAAGCAATGACAGCTGAACTCCAAAATGCTTTCATCGATACAAAACCTTGCAAAGGCCCACTTAGCTTCCGACAGTGACACATTGTATGTATACAGTTATACGGGGGTTGAGGGTTTAGGTTTAGGGTTCTGTATACATATGTCTATAATTCTATATCTAAGCTACAGAAACCAATAAGTGCTTACACGGAACCTCAGCCCTCGCGGACAACAAAGTCGACGCCCCCGTACAGCTTCCCCCAAATCAGAGCCTTCACCTCCGATCCAAGCCGCATGTACATATAATACGAGGGATATCGACATGCATGTACTTACAATGTAACTCTAAACCCTAAGCCCTAAACCCATATACATGTACTTCAGATTAGAGATATGCATGTACTTATGAAATCTAAGCAGACAAGCATACAAGCATGCATATGTTCCCAACCTCATACGGATACCAATACGAGTCTACTTATATACACAAACTGTTCGAACAAACATACATAGTTCGCCCTTCCCCTAAGGGTCCAAGTACCTAAGAATCACATACTCTCCCAAATACTAACCTAGATAACTACTACCCGTAGCCAAAGTACCTTATATATTGGGTCCTTTGGACCCTTAGATACCCTCAACCCTAAACCCTAAACCCCTAAACCCTAAACCCCAAACCCTAAACCCCAAACCCTAAAAACCCAAACCTTAAATTCTAATTATTGGGTCCTTTGGACCCTTAGGGTTTCTTACATGACCCTGAACCTTACACAACACTCGGCCTCCATGGTGGCTCTGCAAGAAGTCGCGCACCAAACCCAAAGAACAGGATTTTAGGGGAGTTGAGGGTGTAGGGTCTAGGGTTTTGTTTCTAACGATTCAGGGGAGTTGAGGGTGTAGGGTTTAGGGTTTTGTTTTTAAGGTTTTGGTTTTTGGGTGTTTTCTTTACGATTTAGGCTTTAGGGTACCGTTGATGATCCAAATCCTGCATTGACTTAAGGGCCTTAAACTAGGGGAATCATGGTATATTCCGTATTACGACTACAGTAATGCAGGTTCACATCGTCAACCGTAGTTTCGTAAGGTTTAGGCTTTAGGGTTTAGGGTTTAGGGGTTTAGGGTTTGGGGGTTTAGGGTTTCGGGGAAGAGCCACGCCCTTTGAGGCCCGCTTGCATCTCAAATCAACAGCCATCCGAGACCTGCAGCCAGAAGCCCCAACTCTAAACCCTAAACCCTAAACCCTAAACCCTAAACCCTAAACCCTAAACCCAACTCCTAACTTTGAACCAACAGTACCCCGAATCCCGAAACGCGAAGCCCTAAAGACTGAAAGAGCAAACCCCACACCCTATAAACCCTATACATTGTCCTACATAATCTGTAAGCCGCTAAAGATACCTTGTCTGGGACGCAAGAACTCAATTATCCTAAAACGAAAACCCCAAGTAGCGACTCTGAACCCGAAAACCCTCGAAAACGAAAACCCGAAACCCTCAACCCTCAACCCTTAAACCCAAAACCCTAGACCCAAAACCCTAAACCCCTAAACCCTAAAACCCCTAAACCCCTAAACCCTAAGCCCTAAATCCCTAAACCCAAAGCCCTAAACCGAAAACCCCTAAACCCCTAAACCCAAAGCCCTTAAACCCAAAACGAAAAAAGATTTGCTGCAGGGAGGGGGATGAGCATCGAGATGTCATGCGGAAGCTCGACCTAGCCCTTGAGGCCCCTGTTTGGTTTCTGGGCTTTGGGTTTAGGGTTTAGGGTTTAGGGTTTATGGGTTTAGGGTTGATGGTTTTTCAAGGTTTAGGGTTTAGGTTTTTTTAGGATTTAGGGTTTTGGTTTGTTTTAGGGTTTAGGGTTTAGGGGAGATGGTTGCTAAGGGTTTAGGAGTTTGGGTTTAGGGTTTAGGGGAGTTGGTTGTTAAGGGTTTAGGAGTTCGGGTTTAGGGCGCAGGGGAGTTGGTTGTTAAGGGTTTAGGAGTTTGGGTTAGGGGTTTAGGGCCAAGGAATTTAGAGTTCGGGTTTTGGGGTTGTTGGGCTTTAGGGGTTTAGGTTTCCCGGGCGGTCATGTGAAGCACTGCTTAGCATGATTTCCTTATGAACAGGGTATTGGGCTCTCTGGGTGCCGTTGCTTTTCAGTGCCAGAAAGTTTGGGATTCAGGCTTTCACAATCACAGGCTTGAGGATTTGGTGTTCGTAGTTGCGAAAAGTTTGATGTGTAAGTAAAGTGGTTGCATGCATGCATGCGAAAGTGCCCATTGCTTCTGAGATGCAACCGCGTCTACTTGCGTCATTCTGAATTGTTTGCCCATGCATGCATGCATGCATGCATGTGTGCATATTGCCATCTATACTTGTGTTGTTATGTACGTGTAGCTGTTGATTGGCCTTTGTACATTAGAGTCCTGAGATCAGGACTCTAGGCGTTCGTTTAAACTCTCAGGAGTTCGTACCTACAGTCTCCATTGTAGTTCCTTTTATCTGTATCTTTATGGGTCCTTAATATGAAATTGATTAAACCAAACAAAGGAACCACGATGGAGACTATAGGTAGTACCTACAATTAGCTAGTCAACCGCAAACCAAAACCACTTGACAATTTTAATCTAAGTTATGGGTCCGTGAAAACTGTCATTCAATCAAGCCTTCCAGCCAACCCCTGAGCCTAAACGCCAAAGCCCTGCAACCCAAACCTCTAAACCTGAAAGAACGGTTTAGGGTTTAGGACCCCTGAACCCCCCGACCTCCGAAAGTGTGCTTTGGCTCCCCGGGATGATACCAGGCAATTTCGCCGCACCTGCACAACCCACATTGGCCGGGGGCCCGGGGAAGTTCTAGAGCTTCGATCATGTTAGGGTTTAGGGTTTAGGGTAGCTTGCTCTAAAAAGGGTCTAGGTGCTGTAGGAGTCGGTGTAATTTGAATTGCAATTCCTTAGGGTGCATCATTTTTAGGGCTGGGGTGTGGGGTTTAGGGTTCGGGCTTAGGGCTTACAGGACTCGTAAGGATTCCGGGTTTAGGTCTTCGAGACCTCGATGCCTCAACCCTAAACCCTAAGCTCCTAAACCCGAAACCCCTAAACCCTACACCCCTAAACCCAAAGCCTCTAGACCCCTAAACCCTAAACCCTTGGACCCTAAACCCCTAAAGCCTAAGCCCCTAAACCCCTAAACCCTAAACCCCTAAACCCTTGGACCCTAAACCCCTAAATCCTAAGCCCTTAGACCCTAAACCCCTAAACCCTAAGCCCTTAGACCCTAAACCACTAAATCCTAAGCCCTTTGACCCTAAACCCCTACATCCTCAGCCCAGGAGCGTCCGTCGAAAGGCGCTTGTCGCCATCTCCAGCGTCTGCGAGGCATGCCCTGCATCCGATCCAGTTCGCTTCTGTGGAAGTTTTGGGCCTTTTAGGCTTTAGGATTTAGGGGTTCAGGGCTTAGGCTTCAGGGGTTTAGATGTTTAAGGTTTAGGGGTTTAGGGCTTAGGGTGTAGGACTGTGGGATTTCAAGGCTGATTATGGGGTTTAGGGTTCAAGTACTGCAGCAGTACGATTATGCACTTGGGAGTTTATAATATCTAGCGATTATATGCGAAAGCCCGAAACTTAAAAGGCACTGTCTGTTAAAACCAAGAAACTAAACGTGCAGAAAGGCCTGGAAGCGATCCAAACCCCGGAACCCTACCCTACACCTGCACTTACCACTCCCTAAACCCTAAACCCTAAACCCTAAACTCTAGATCCTAAGCCGTCCCTAACCCCCGAAGATCCAAGTCCAATAACGTGCTAAGCCTCGAAACCCATCCCTGAACCCAACACCCTTTACACCCTAAAGTACCCCTAAACTCTAAACCCTAAACTCTAAACCCTAAACCCTAAACTCTAAACCGTAAGCCCTAAATCCTATAAGCTCTATACTCCAAAGTCCTCTTTGGCAGGTGGCCGGTGGCCACAAAAAGAGCCTCCGGAGAGTGAAGGACCCGGTCCTTCGATGACTTCAATGTTTCGGGCTTTAGGGTTTAGGTTTTAGGGTTTAGGTTTTTATGGTTCAGGTTTTAGGGTTTAGGGTTTTAGGGTTTAGGGTTTAGGCTTTAGGGTTTTAGGGTTTAGGGTTTTAGGCTTGCGGGATGATGACGTTCCTTTATTGTTTCTCTTTGGCTACTATACTATAGGGGCCTGAATAATTGCAAATACTTTTTGGGGGGTTCCTGCTGGTGACTTGAGGCCCTCATCCCAGATCAGACCCAGTTGCCCCAAACCTTAAGCCCAAACCCGAAACTCCGAACGTTTAGGGTTTAGGGTTTAGGGGTTAGGGTTTAGGGTGCACCGTGGCAGGACATGGCCAACGATAAGGACGAGCAAGTTCGTCTCGCGTTGGCCGCCGCACCCCCGGATCTGTGCCAGCAGCTGCCAGGGATGAGAATGTTTAATCGAGGGGCCTGAATAATTAGCTATACTATTTTGGGGGTTCCTTATTATAACCAGAGTATAACATATCCCGAAGCCCTATTCGAATTATCAAGGCCCCTATATTACTGCACCCTTAAGCCCTAGACCCTAGCAGTCCCGTACCTTGAATATGATCCTAAACTCCTCTGTTGTGAATCCGGAACTGTTAACCTTAAAATATCGCAAGAACCTTTAGACCCAAGCCTAGACCAACAAACTATACCTGCACACTCTATGCCGCATATACCTTCATAGCCCCTATGTACCAA